CGGTATATCTGGTTGTTTTGGGTTTTCAGAAGTTCCGCCATGGTTAACACACCTGGCCTTCAAATTGTCTGATTCTCTGCGAACTCTTACCCCGGTATACTCGCGCACATCGTTTCTTGTTTCTAAATACCCTGATGAATAGTTTCTGATGATTCTTTTTGCTTCGGTCGTACGAATTTCTGGTTGCATACTACGCATGACATTAGTCATCGACGGTATATTTGGTTGTTTTGGGTTTTCAGAAGTTACGCCATGGTTAACACACCTGGCCTTCAAATTGTCTGATTCTCTGCGAACTCTTACCCCGGTATACCCGCGCACATCGTTTCTTGTTTCTAAATACCCTGATGAATAGTTTCTGATGATTCTTTTCGCTTCGGTCGTACGAATTTCTGGTCGCATCCTACGCATGACATTATTCATCGACGGTATATTTGGTTGTTTTGGGTTTTCAGAAATTCCGCCATGGTTAACACACCTGGCCTTCAAATTGTCTGATTCTCTGCGAACTCTTACCCCGGTATACCCGCGCACATCGTTTCTTGTTTCTAAATACCCTGATGAATAGTTTCTGATGATTCTTTTTGCTTCGGTCGTACGAATTTCTGGTTGCATCCTATGCATGACATCAGTCATTGATAGTATATTTGGTTGTTCTGGGTTTTCAGAAGTTTCGGAATGGTTAACACGCCTGGTCACCAAACTGTCTGATCTTCTACGAACTAAGATGTTGGTATATTCGCGCGCAACATTTATTGTTTCTAAATACCCCGATGAATAGTTTTTGACGACTCTTTTTGCTTCGGTTGTAAGAATTTCTGATCGTAAGCTGGGTATGACTACATCTTCATCTAATGACAGTATCTTTGGTTGTTTCGCGTTTTCAGAAATTTTACCCTGATTAACACGCCAGGTCGTCAAATTGTCCGATCCTTCACGAATTCTAAGGCTGGTTCCATTGTTCTTTGCTGTGAACTTTTTGGCAGGTAATCGAGATTTATCCACAAGACGAACCTTTACTTTACTCAAAAAATTATGCTTTTCAAGTACTTTTAGCAAACGAAATCTCCTGTTATCCAGTGACCAAAATTCATCATCCATTTCTATAACTTTTATAGGTGGGATCATATAAACTTTCAGTTCCCCTTGTAAAACTTTAATGGTCATGTCTTGTATTGTATCTCCGTTTCGAAAATATGGAAGAATGAAATCCTGGGTGTATCGAACATCTGATGGGGGAATCAAAATTCTTGATTCCTTTCGCTTCCACATGCTATAATATTTTCTCGCAAAAAAACTACAAAAACGTAAAAGTTAATTTAGAGTACTCCCGTATTGTGTACCAGGTTAGGGTTAGGGCGTAATTTTATTCCGATTTGCCTTATTTTAATTCTATCACGAGTTTGGAGGCTGTCTGTGTTAGCCCATAGGTTTCAGTCCCTTTACAAAACTTGTAAAATAGGCGAACAAAATTAGGTACCCCCATATTGGTACACATACTTCTGGAGCGCCTTAATTTGAGTACCTGATAAGTCATAAAGCCTATTTTTATTAACTGAAAAAAGAACTGGCCAACTATTCCAATACCCGACATGAACTCGTAACAGGACGCGAGGCCTAATTTGCCATATGAATAAGCCGTCTCATCGCCTTTTAATGAAAAATAAACTTCACTGTTGACTGTTCGATACGTAAACGAATCCATTCAGCGTTCATCAACCATTTTTAATCATGGTCACGGTCGTAACGATATTAACGTAAGTGCGAAACGCGGTTTTGAGTAAACAATAAACTTCCTGACGATATTGTTATGCCATAATGTATATATAGTTTTATATTGTTCAATTTTCAGTCGTAGTTGGATTTAAATTTTTTCGTATGACGCAAGCATGTGACGTCATAATGACGCATGGATACATACGTAAAAAATTTGCAATCATGGCCTTTAGATGCCCTAAGCACTTAGGACTGTGGTGCCCTATATTTAGAATAATAATAATAATAGTAGGAAGGTAACTAGTCTTCCGTGTTACCTGAAATTGAATAGGTAAGTTCCAGTATGTATTCATTATTTATTGAAGGCCAAATTATAATTAATTCACATATATAAATACACACATTTATAGCGGTTTAGAATGATACTTTAGAAAGAAAAGCAAGCAGAACTGATTTTAACCGGGCAAATATTGAGGTCTGAATAGACTGAACAATCTTCTCATTAGAAACTGAGGCACTATTGAAAACTCGGCTATGAGAATTTCTGTGGTGCCCCTTTTCCTTCGTGCCCTAAGCACGTGCTTATTTTGCTTAAGGGTTTATTCAGCCCTAGCTACAGAAGCCTGACGCTTTTGACGGTATTGAAGTTAAAGTGAAATGTTATTTTAACGTTAAACGACTGGCGCTTTTTAGGAGTACTGAAGTTACGGTGAAATGCTATTCAAACGTTAAACGACTGGTGCTTTATAACTGTACTGAAATTACGCCGAAATGCTATTTAAACGTTGAATGACTGGCGCTTTATAACAGTATTGAAGTTACGGCGAAATGCTATTTAAACGTTAAACGACTGGTGCTTTATAACAGTATTGAAGTTACGGCGAGATGCTATTTAAACGTTGAACGACTGGCGCTTTATAACAGTATTGAAGTTAGGCGAAATGCTATTTAAACGTTAAACGACTGGCACTTTTTAACAGCTTTGAAGTTATGTCAAAATTCTATTTAAGCCTTTTACGACTGACGCTTTTCAACAGTATTGAAGTTACGGCAAAATTCTATTTAAACGTTAAATGACTGGCGCTTTTCAACAGCCTTAAAGTTATGCCGAAATTCTGTTTAAGCGTTTTACGACTGACGCTTTTCAACAGTATTGAAGTAACGGTGAAATGCTATTTGAACGTTAAACGACTGGCGCCTTTTAATAGTATTGAATTTACAGCGAAATGCTATTTAAACATTCAACGACTTACGCTTTTCGACAGTTGTGAAGTTATGGAGAAATGCTATTTAAACGTTAAACGACTGGCGCTTTTTAACAGTATTGAAGTTACGGCAAAATGCTATTTAAACGTTAAACGACTGACGCTTTTCAGCAGTATTGAAGTTACGGTGAAATGCTATTAAATTCCGATAAGACGAGGCAATTGCATGAAGCAAGGTGTTGTCTCGACAGCGACCAAAAGCATCGTATATTTTCCTTGCGTTTGCAGTACTTGCCAAGTATAACACACCTGGGGTTAGGGTGGAGAGGCCCTAAGGCCTAATCACTTAAAAAGGGCGATCCAGAAGAGTGTGTACCAATATGGAGGTGACTATATTTGTTCGCCTACTTTACATCAAGTTGTATAAAGGGATTGAAATCAAAGGGGGTATATTCACCTATGATATGTAGGCATCTATGTTTTCAGTAATTCATGTGTCTGGAAGACCCGTTACATTAAAAAAGTTATATGCAGTATAATTAAATATCTGCTAAGTATTCGATTCTGGAATCATCAGCTATTCGAAAATGCCTAAGCTATTCGAAAATGCCCGAGTTAGGGGGGTTCAGGGGGTCGGAACTCAGCTTTCAAAATCTAAAAAATAGCTTTTTTGGAGTCAAACATAGCAATTTCCGTAGCTTGAAACACTTTTTAGACCCTTAAAACTCTGCTAGCTGTTACTAGGGCTGGGCATTTCGAATCGAATAGTAAATTATTCGAATCGGTTCAGAGCGAAATTCCAAATTGCCGCCATCTTTTTTTTTCCTTTTTGCCAATTGTCGAGGTACATTTCTCATTTTTTTTTATGAAAGTCATATTTTTTCAACGCAATTCTGACATATGACTCTTTTCTGTAGTGAGTTATTGATGAAAACGTATTTTTTATTGTGTGTGAACACTCAGCAATCTGGCTGAGTGATGTATTTTACGTTTCTATAGTAATTTATGTGTCTGAAGAACCAAATACAAGAAGAAAGTTACATACAATTATATATCTCGCAAGTATTCAAAATTCGATTCGAGAAAAATATTCGATTCGATTCTGAAATCATCAGGTATTCGAAAATGCCCAGCATTAGCTATTACGTTCTAACTTGTCAATTAGAAATTTCAGAACCCATTTCCCCACACGCTTTGAGATTCCTGGCTACGACCTGAGCCATACTTTGTGGAGGGGGCAGTGACGTGTCAAACTTTTCTGTGCCCCGAGACAAGTTTCCGATAATGCTGCTCCTTATACTCCACCTCAAAAATAATTGGGGGGATGAACAAATTAGAGATGTTGTTATACATGAGAATAAATAAATTAAAGTTCAAGTAGGAGTAACATGGTTGTATTATTACTCGCCCCCATAACATGCTGCCCCTTTGGTCTCCCTCTAGACACGCCACAGTCAATTTTTTTTAAAACGACATTGACTAGTGTCTTTCTCTCCGAGCAAGTACAGCTTTAAACAGTCGCTGATATCTCAAAGCTCTCCACAGATTAACCTCGCTGTCTAACATATACAAGGTCCACCTACCTACCTCGGTTAGGGTTCGTATTGGGGAAGGATAGATAGTAAGCCAAAACAAGTTTGTGTATCACCGCAAATCCCGCGGAATTGAATTTCAGAAAAAAATAATTTTTTTAAAGTTGGCTATAAGGCCGGGGCCTGGTCGCCTCCCTGGCTACGCCTATCCCTGACGACCCGAGGGCCAAATCTGGCCCGCCTGATGCTGCCACAAACTGAAAGTAAATTTGGAGGTTTAAGCTAATAAAAAATAGTTGTATGATACATGCGGACTATAACATTCAACATCCAATTAGATACAGGCTGACCATTAATCTTTTTTATAATTAAAAAAAAATAATTTGATTATAAAGACTTTATGATCGGGCGAAACTTTTCGGACACCCTGTATAATCTGTCGCTGACATATCAGATTAAAAGATAGATACAACATAGCACAGTCCGCAATCATATGACTGGGGCGTATTATTAGTTTCCTTACGCGGAATAAATACAGAATACACCATTGCTAAAATTCATATTTTTATTTAAGATAAAGTAAAAGAAATTGGGCGGGCATGAAAAGCACATTATTATAACGAACTGTATTGTGATAAAAATCGTTTAATTCACTCGTATTTCACCTCAATTTGAAAAGTAAATTTATATTTTTCAATAAAAAAACAACTATCGCTCGTGCTCTGCCATTTTTTCCACGGCTGCAAAGTAGGAGTTCTGTCGAGTTTCATTGATGTACGAGCCATAGTGGTATTTTCAAACTACTTCGAGTCGAAAAAGACATTTCGGGGTAAAATTTCAGTCTTTTTATAGTTGTGATTACAGTCAAAATCGGGAGAGGTGACTGGAGTCAAAAAAAAATTTCCAACAGGATCCAGAATTTTTTTACAAAGAGTTTGGTTTATTTTTACTCGACTTCACAGCTCATATTTGACTAGTAACTGTGAAATGAAAATGAATTGAACAATTTTTTTAACAGTATAAGTAACACGTTTTAAAATACAGTGCGTAGAATTGGTTGCCATGTTGAAATAAAATTTGCCATCTTTGTTAGTTTTAATTAAAAAAAAAAGACTCAGAGACACATAAAAATGAAACACATGCGAATCTAGGGATGTTCGTGAGTTGAGATTTTCAATTTAAAAAGCAAGGTCCGGTACATTTACTCGGAAGAGGTGAGAAAGACTTGTCATTTTTTAGTTTGCAACTTTGAGAACATGCTCGAAGCAAGCTCCCTCATGCCTACTTATTTCTGGACAAAGTTATTCACGATCACTGAAATTGGCATAAATTATTTGCTCAAAGCGAGGTCACGCACACTCACTCAGAAGAAGTAAGAAAGACTCATTTCTGAATTTGCAAATTTGAGAACATGCTCAAAGCAGTGTCACTCATTCCTACTTATTTCTGGGCAAAGTTACTAACGACCTCTGAAATTGGCATGGAATATTGAAAATCTATAACACTGTATGGGGGGGCACAATGCTAGGCTCAAAACTGAATTTACTTTTCCTTGACAAGAAAACTTTCCTGTTTTATTGATTGATAAGGGTATTTCACAGAGTGCTAACATCCTCCACTCCAGAAGGGGGCCACAAGCAATATAAGATTGAGAACCACTGCTATATAGATTTATAGTCACATATTAGTAGCTCTAGACTAGATACAGTGGTGGGATTCAGCCGGTTCGCACCGGTTCTATAAAACCGTCTCACGAAATTTTATGAGATCAGCGTACCGGTTAGCTTTACTGGTTACTGTCAATGTTCTGTTTGTAACAGAACCGGCTGAAAAATATGACTTTTGTGAAGGAACCGGCTGACAAAAAATTTGAATCCCACCACTGTCTAGAAATCATATAAAGCCATCTATTAAGAAGATGAGACATCCTTAATCCCCAAATGCTGACAATGTATAATGTGAAAAAAAAAGTTAGTTAGACAGAATGAGATTGCATTTGGACAAAATTGGTGGTCTTTGGAAAAATGATTTCACAAGATAGGGTTAATCGGAATACCTAAATGCTTTATTGATAAGTTAGCCAGATTGATACTTGTTTGGGCTCATTTTTGATGCTTTTTGAAAAAGTGCTTTTTATGACCTAGAGCAGGGCTAATCAACTATTTTTATCGAAGGTCCGAAAACAAAACTTCAAAATTATTTGGGTCCGGTCTTTCCAGAAATGATATTTCGGCACCCTTAAACGAGCACTTCCTCGACCAACTAATGATTAGTAGCAAATTAAAATTGATTTTTATGGTGTTATAATTCTTTTCGTATATATTCAAAACTATGAAAGTCATTTTATAATAGGAAATTTAAAAAGTGGGGCTAATGATCCAAAATAAATAATTAGGTGCGGTCCAAATCCAATACTCGAAAGGTCCGGATTCGGGCCGCGGTCCGCCAGTTGAGTAGCCCTGACCTAGAGTAAAAGATTTTTTTTATATTTCACAACAAAATCAGTATCTTTGACCAAGTTTACAAATTTAAATTTGGGGGCTCCCGAAGTATGCGAACCAAGATGGCGGACATCGGAATGTAATATGTGTACTAGGTTAGGGTTAGGCCATAATTTTAAGTATAAATACTACGGGATGCTCTTGGCTAGCCTTCGAACTGATAATAGGACCAAAATGAGGAAAATTGGAAAGAAATTATCGCCTAACCCTAACCTGTTACGTTCCGATGTCTGCCATCTTGGTTCACATACTTCGGGAGCACCGAAATTTGGCACGTACATATATTGGGCTTTAGAAGTTTATGTACCAATATTGAGGTTAACTAATTTTGTTCGCCTACTTTACATCAAGTTGTGTAAAGGAACGAAAACCTATAAGCAGGGGGATATTCACTTGGCTAACACAGACAGTCCCCGAATTTTCAATAGAACTAAAATAAGAAAAATCAGAATAAAATTATGGCCTAACCCTAACCTGGGACATATACTATGGGAGGTATCAATATATTTGACGCTACTGTACTGCGAATTTGGAACAGTTGGTCCAGTATTTACACCTAAAGCTTATTTTCATCCTTACAAAAAAAAATTTAATTTTGAAATAATACATAAATCTGATTTGCTCGAAATTGCCTAGTGGAGAACTACTCTTCACTTAAATAAAACAGGGAAGTTCAATTTACCAAACAAAATTCATTGCACAAATCACTATATTTTTAAGGAACTGTTATCTAAGTGCAGAAACAATTAAGAAGGGCATTGCTCAGGCTGATTATTCAATTAAAACAAATTTTAAACACAGGTTCACAACTTTTATTGTTCATCCCTTGAAAATTTTCAAAAAGTTAAATTTACCCCACAACTGTGTATATAAATTGTCTCTTCCCGTGATCTTGGTACCAAGATTTTTTTTTGGTCAGTTTAGTGTATAAACTAAATGAAATTTATAGCTATAGGAAGGAAATTTATACTAACCCTGGACTAAATGTAAGTTTCTATATTTGGCAATGACATGTGGTTCACATACCCCACCAGTAAAAAATATATATTATTGAAGGTAGACCTACTTTAATATAAACTAGGAAGAGAATGGCAAACACCCAAATTATCAATTATCCAAAAGAAAATTTCATACGAAATTAAATGCTGAAGCAAATACCACAATATGCCCAAAACGTTACGAAATGACGAATATTACATTTTTCTTACTCTCAACTTGACCGGTTGAATTAAAAATGACATGCCAAAAATTACAGCATAAAAGGAAAGTTTTTGAGACTGTTGAATTCGAAACAGAAAGGATCCTACTGGCTTCAGTCAGGGCTCTTTATGAGTATCTATATTTTATCAGAATTTTTGAAATCCGTCACAGCAAATTTTCGACGTAAATCATGGATATACGAGTAGTTGCGAATAAACAAATTTTCCAGATTAAAAAAATAAAATACAAATTTTTTATTCTCGTTTACCCCTTTTGCAAATTTTATAAGTAAAATTTATCCCAGATTTTTTTTTATCTATTTTCATTCCTACAAAAATATATCATAGATCAGAGCAGATAGGACTTTTAAAGAAGAGATTTTAAATATGATTTGTGGATGCGGAAGACAGAAATTGACTGTTTGAGTATGCACCAATGTTAATTTTGACCCCCTTAGTGAAATTACCCCCATGGATGCCATGTGGAAATCCCCCTCCCTCCATGCCTAGATCATGTTTCTTTTTATTGCTATTTTTCGACGATATCAATTCAGTTAAATTGTCTGGACCTGAAAAACACCTTTTCGAAAAAATAATTCGCAATTTTATTTAAAATAGTTCCCTGAACATCCTCTAGATGGCAGCAAACCTGATTCAATATATATTTGAAGAAATAAAAACGAAATTGGAACAAGGGCTGAGGAACTTGCGATTTCAATCTTTTAGCACTGTTGCATGACCATTACGGAATTATCTCACGCTTCAGTTCTTTTCCAAAATATAAAAAAGGGGCCCAGATTTATTCCGTTGTAAGGAATCGAAGCAGAACATCCAATTGTGACTACATAATGCTTGATTGTTCATTGGAATGTCATATGCTGAACTTTATTTCGATGTAAAATACTTCGAACATCATTGCAAAACCTAAAAAGAAAGATTATCTTTTAATGTTAGAAACACTGATTTTGAATGCTCAGTTCAGACCAGTGGTTCTCAAACTTTTTAGGCATTTTTTAGAACTTGTCAAGTCTCGCGCCCCCCCTCAAAAATAATTAGCTAACAAGAGGCTACAAAAAACAGAAAGTAAGGCGAAAGTATTCATAAAAACATATTGAAAATGCGTGGATGGAATCACAATCTTTAAAAAATAAAGAAATATGAATATCCAAAATGAGGCACGCAAGATCAAATCTAACAATTTTTATCTTTAGTTAGCTCCACGTCCTTGTCTACGACCTTCTTGTGAGCACGCCCACCATTTAAAAACCACTGCACTAAATAACTTGCTTAGGAAGAAAAGCAGTGAGCAACTGAAGCGACACACAAGGTTTTATTATCTAATTTAAAATGAGGGATTATTTTTGAGAACAGTGAATGTTATGATTATTTCTTGTTCTATACTCAGCCAATAGGAAACCATGATAAATAAAAGTAATTTACCTTAATGAGTCTAACATCGGTAATAAATTGAGCAACGCAGTATCAAAAGGATTTGCAAACCATGACTTTATTGGAATTGCATTTTCTGAAAAAAATCAAATAATTTCATAAATTAATGTGAGCAAGGATGTAGTTTAAAGCAAAATACTAGTAAATAGTATTTTATTAATATAAATCCTCTTTTTTTTCAAAAATAGCATAAACTATGGTTAAAGCAGATTTTCCTGAACTTCTACTCTGAAAAATTTTGCAACAAAACTGAACTAGTAAACCTGAATAAGGAAGAATCTTTCAATTAAAATTTGTTTTATGAAAAGCAAATTACCGTTGTCTATTCAAGTTCTACTTAGTACTGCACTGGTATTGACATTTATAAGCATTTATCGTGAGAACTTCAAGTTGTGGCTGTTGGAATTAAGTTAGCATAATGTCATTTAGTTTGAGTGCGATCAGAGTTATGCACATATAAGCCAATTTTTGAGCTCAGTCAGAGTTATTTGCGTTGGATGTTCAGTGTGACCAGAGTTATGTGACTATAAGCCAACCCCTTAGCTTGACAACTTTTTTTTTTAGTTTCAAACTTTGCTCATATGAGAGGATATATGACACACACCTAATTTGGGTATTGCCTAAGAAATAAAAATCTACCTACCTGGGAAGCATTTGTAAGCACCTGGTGAATTATCAATAATAAGAATACTGGAAAGATCAGTGTGAACAGTAGATAAGTCTTTCGTAAAACTCCCCATTTCCACTTTACAATGCTGAAAAAGGAAGAATCTTTAGATATTATTTTTTAGATTCGAAAGAATAGCCTACCAAATTGAATGCAAATAAATCTGATTTGTATTTTTTTCAACTTTAAAAATATTCTTCAAGTTAGCAAAGTGGACTTGTTGAGAGGTTCAACTTTTTTGTTAACCGAAAAAACGAGCATTGCAACAATGATAAACATAAACAAAGTTTTCGGTATAAACTGGGGGGAGCGATACGGTCATCAGAGTCAGCCCCCTGATATTCATTTTTAGAATTTAATAAGGTGGATAAATGAATTTGTACTAATATTCGTTTTTTGAATATCTTTGCTTTACTTAATCCAGGGATGTCACAAAAAATTGAATATTTGAATACATTAAAAATCGGATATATAGGGTGTCCATAAAGTCATAAATTTTTTTAAATAGCCAAGGGAATTTATCGATACCATACATTGTTATGGCGCTCATAGACGTATTAAATGAGGTAAAAAAAACTTGAACAATTACTGATTAGAATACAGCAAATCTGGTTAAGATATATTGAGAACTGACTTCATAACAAAATTGAAATGGTAAAGGGACTTGATGGCCTGTATTTGATTTGACATGTTAAATTCTTGTTTTATAGTTATAATTTGAACTTTTTTAAAAAAGATTGGCCGGCTTCCATAAATTCAGAGAAAAAGTATGCAAAGTAAAGTATGCAAGAAAATATATATTTTAGAGACTTGATATTTTAAAAATAGTGCTTTTCGAAAAAGTCGAATAAATAACAGAAATAACCATACATTCACCATTTCAAGTGGCAAACCAAAAACAACACTACAGTGCTCTCAACACATATTATGGTAAGAGAAATTTAAACTGAGGTTGAACAAATAGACAAAATCTGACATACAAGGTAGTCGGTAGTCACAAAGCCTTGTCAGTTGTCACTATTTCAATTTTGTTATGAAGTCAGTTCCCAATATATATCTTAACCAGCCTGAGTAATTCGATAGTCTTGCTACACACTAACACAAATATATTTCTGTAGTGTTTCGTCTGACCCAACTTCCTCAGACATTCATATTTGCACTGATTTCAACTGAGTTGAAATATGTATGTCTGAGGAAGTTTGTCCTTGGTCAGACGAAACGTTACAGAAATATATTCGTGTTATTGTGCAGCAGGACTCTTGAATCACTCAAGATAGTTATCTTCACTCTCGCAACAGCATCCTTGCATTATATTCATACGGATCCACCGACGCAAAAGCATAGAAAACGGAAAAGTAGTTGGTTTTGTAGAAACCCAATCGATAGCATATCTTAACCAGGTTTGCTTTATTTCAATCAGTGTTTACTTAAGTTAATGATTCTATTTGATACACTAATAGGGGCCCACAAAATATATATGGCATCGTTAAATTCCCTTTGCAACTTAAAAAAGTTCTAAAACGCAACACCCTATACAACTTATTCATTGCATGTCTCCCTAATATACCAGACATATGGATTAATTGACATCATGATAATTGTTTAATTAAATAAAATTATTGATTGATCACAATAAGAGTACTATAGTCGACAAATGTCCCATAAAAATAGTTTGCACGTTTTTTTCCAAGAAATCATGATACCGGTGGCGGTAGACGATATTCTCTTTTGCCCTTTTAATTGTTCTATTAACTTTACCAAACTAACTTGTCATTAGAATACATTCATTACTCCTTCACCCCTATTGCAGGGGTCGGCAACCTTTTGTCGCTCGTGGGCCAAAATAGGGGGTTGCAAGTCATTGGCGGGCCGCACATATTTTTAGAAAGTTGAAAACCGAACGGATGATACGTTTTATAATAAAAATTAAGCAGTGATACAACATATCTCAAATAGGATATAGATTATTTTTCTCATTGCATTGCATCTCAAAATATCCCATTTGAACATTTTCGGCGCCATTGAATCCTTTGCACAACTTTTCTGCATTTTGTTGCCATTTGTCTAATTATGTTAAAATTATGAGCTCAATAAACAAGTACGGTAATTGTGAATTTTATACTTGTTAGATTATAATGTTATTTAGTCTACACATGTCTCATAATAAATTCTGTTACCTAAAGAATTTAATTGTCAAAACAGCTGTTTTGTTACTATAATTCAGTAAAGTGTCGCGGGCCGCATTATGTTACTGGGCTTACATGAGCAAAATGCCAAAAACAAACCCACCCTTGCAATAAAAGGGGTAAGAAAATTGGACTAGCAAAAGCAGAATAAACACTTCATCTTGTACATCAGGGGTCGGCAAACTACTGCAACATAATCCGCCCCGCGACACTTCACTGAATTATAGTAACAAAACAGGTGTTTTGACGATTCTTTATGTAACATATTCATTACTTAGACTAGATTATATTATAACGTAAGTATATAATTCACAATTACTCGTTTAATGAGCCTATAATTTAATTATAATTAGACAAATGGCAACAAAACGCAGAAAAGATGATGCTAAGTGCAAAAGTTCCAATATTCCAAAAATATTCAAATGGAAAATCCGCTGAAAATATTCAAATGGAAAATCCGCTGAAAATATTCAAATGGAATTTTTTAAGATGCAAATGCAATGAGGAAATAAATTTACATTCTATTCAAGAGATTTATTGGTGTTTGATTTTTTTTTTTTAAATAATCATCCGTTCGGTTTTTCAGTTTTCCTAATTTTGGCCCGCGAGCGACAAAAGGTTGCCGACCCCTGGCTTATGGGCTTGTATGAGCAAAATGCCAAAAATAAACCCCACAAAATCGGGTAAGAAAATTGAACAAGCAAAAGCAGAATATACACTTAATCTTGTACACAGTAAGATATGGTATTATGAACTAAGACAGAAAGAAATGCAAAAAAATATTACAAACACTGATCCAGCAAATGAATATTTTATATGTGTTTGGGTCTAGATCAGGGGGGGGCAAGGTTTTTAAACCAGGGGCCAAAAAGTTTTCCCACTCAGACTGGCGGGCCATGGGAGACTGACGTAAAAGGTTACATTTCATGAACAATATTCACAGTGTTACAAAGCAAAGATGGAAAACAATTAGCCTCGTGCCAAAACTAAATTTAATCGCAATCTCAACAATTTCCGTGATCTATTTTTAACTGGAACATCAAAATTTGTTTCAGTCTGGTTGTGGCAGCATCAGGCGGTCCAGATTAAATTAACCAACGGGTCAGATTTGGCCTGCGGGCCGTACTTTGCCCATGTCTGGTCTAGATCAAACTATGCCGTCATCACAGGTAAATGCAACAAGGTTAGGATCAGGGTTGTCCAAAACGAATCGAATATTCGAATGTATTCGAATATCAAACTATTCGAATACCTTTTCGGCTGATTTTCGAATAATTCCGAATAGTAGCCATTTTTCGCCGTAAACGTGGTGTTTCCTTTTAACGGGAATCTTCAAACGACTTTTTACGCTGTCTCACGTATTGTAATGACGATGAAATAGAATCGGCACTTTGATTGTTTATATTCTGTGCGACCGTACGTCGCATAGTGTTGCGACACATTTGCACGTTTGTGTGGGTGGACATTGCCGACATTCGTGTACGTGGCTTTTAATTTACAAATTCATTTCAATTACGTCGAAAAATTGAGAAAGTATGTTTATTTTATTTCTATGCGGCCTGCTTATTATTCGCATTAGTCTTCCCAAGCATGATTTGTGTAACCTTATATTTGGGTCTTAGGGTCTGCCAATCATGATATTTAATCGCAGGCTGGTTATCGTTACTTTAAAGAGAAACACGTCCACCGAGATAAAGTGATTTGTGACCCTTTCTTTTTGCTGATTCAGCAGAACACGACAGGGATAGGAAAACACAGCTGTGAAATAACCTGTGGACGTACAGTGTAGTACTTATCACATTCCAAAATTATTTCGACATTCGGGTTAATAGGTTGTCTAAAATAATTGCCGTTTTACAACTTAAATTTACCTCTCATTTGTTAAAAATAGTTAATTCTGTGAGTATGATTCTACCAAACTAACATGATCTGGTTCTAAACATATAAAATTATTAGCGCCTATTAGCATTACTGAACAACAGGGACACAATTTTTCTACCTGTCTTATTGGAGGCCTATATGGAAAAACCCCTTTTTTGAGTGCTAAAAATAGACATCGTCCTATTTGCCATGTGGACTTATTGGACTTCGTGAGTACGAAAATAAGAATCAAAAACTAATTATATTCGGCACAATATCACGGCAATCTGTGGACATAAATTGTGTGGCAAACTCGCGATCAATATTAATTTTTGATTCCTATTTTCGTATTTACAAAATACAACAGCGATCTGTGGACTTAGAATGTGTGGGTAAACTACCCGATTATAAATAGTTTTTGATTCCTATTTTCATATTTATGAAATAATGAAAGTATTATTACTCAAACATACAACGGCGATCTGCGGACTTAAAATGTGTGCTAAAGTTCCCGAATATAATTAATTTTTGATTCGTATTTTTGTACTCACGAAAAAATTGTCACAAGTCGGAAAAATACCTCATACTTTATCCCGCTTTTTGACAAATAATTTGGATAATTGTTGGTATTTAAAAGTATGGGCGTTTTACTAGGATGATTTTGTGTTGCGCAAATATTCAAATCCATCATCGATCCCACTATTGTCGTATTAATTTAATTCTGTTAACATGACTCATGGTATATAAAATATATACTGCAATAATCTGCAAACATGAAATGCCTGGTAATTTGGCTAGGTTGTAACTTTAGATAGCAGTTATTCCATTGCTTATTGTATGGAAATTCCTACATACATTTAGATAAGCTTCAATTAGTGGATTTTATTTTCGAAGTATTCGAAATTTCATATTCGAAAAAAATAATTTCGAATGTATTCGAAATAGTGAACTATTCGATATTGGCCATCCCTGGTTAGGATTCCAATCCGGAACAGGAGTCGACAATCATGACTTCCAATGTTAATGCAATGGTCACAATTTTTAAAGAAACTCAAGAAGTATTAACTTCACTAAAAAAGTTAACGGTAATAGCCTTACCTATTCAATTTAGGAGTCTTGCTGCACACTAACACAAATGTATTTCTGTAACTTTTAAACGTTACAGAAATACATTTGTGTTAGTGTGCAGCAACTCTTGAATTGAATAGCCATTTTCACTCTTGTAACAGCATCTTTGCGTTATACGCATACGGATCCACCTGCGCGGGCATAGAGGGCAATGAAAGGTAGTTAATTTCACATAACCCCAACTTTTAGTTATAATAGTCTTACCTGTCTATAATATCTCCTTTTCAAAATACCCTTATTTTTGTCAAGTTTATCACAAACCGCAGAACCATATATTTCCATTGACGCAGTATAGATTACTAACTCGTACCATTGACTTACCTAAAACAAATATATGAATGATTTAGCAAAAATATGGGCAACCAATAAAATTTCAACAGCCACAGTGAATATATGGAGGTATAGTGGCGCTTATCACACACTCACTCAGAAATGAAGGAGACTAATCTCTGAGCAAAGTCACATGCAATCACTCAGAAGTAAAGAAGACTCATCTCTGAGCAAACTTACAGCCACTCAGTCAGAAGTAAAGGAGACTCATGTCATCTCTGAGTAAGGTTACAGCCACTCACTCAGAAATGAAGGAGACACTTTTCTGAGCAAAGTTACGGGCAATCACTCAAAAATAAAGGAGACTCATCTCTGAGCAAAGTTACGGGCACTCACTCAGAGTCAGAAGTGAAGGAGACTCATCTCTGAGCAAAGATACGGGCAATCACTCAGAAGTAAAGGAGACTCATCTCTCAGTAAGGCTACTAGCCCATATCAAAGGCTAGTTATAGCTAATCTACCAATCACTTGATAGATTACTAAATGTTCTTGGTACAATCATACACAAACAGAAGTTCAAGTGTTGTGTGTACCATATTTGCTCGTTTTGTAGCCCCGGCCCATATTTTTTCAACCAACTCACTAACCGGGCCCTTATTCAAACCGGCCCTTATTCAAGCACGGGCGCTTGTTATTTTCGATTGTTACAATAATTACCGGTAATATATTATTGTTTCTAGTTCTGAAGTATGATTTAAACGAGAATAACGAAAATTTTGAAGAAGAAAAGTTTTGCGACGCCCTATCAATATTGAAACTACGCACTTGGGCGTCGCGACGCCAAGTTTGAGAACCATGGTGTTACGTAATCAATGCTATCTGTTATGTACTTGGACGCCTAAAGCGTGAGTGTTATCTACCGGCGCTTAAATTTCAACAGCGTTGTGACAAAAGCGCTTCTTATTTCCTATTGTTCTCTACCACTGAAAAATCACCTTTTACATTGGGCAGGTATTCAAGCACCGGCCCTTGTTTATTTTTATGTTCTGTTCACACGGGCGGCTATTCAAACGGGCCCTTAATCAAGATCGGGCGGTAAAGCGAGCATTTACCGTATGTATGTTTATTTGTCTAAAAAATGTAACAGTATCTGTTCAAGACCTTACTGGCCTAAGACACAGATGTGCGACATGCACCCCAACAAGTATAACTGCAGTTTAGGACTGCTGCGTTATAGTAGGACAACAGACACAAAACATACAAATAAAACTCATACAAGTTAAAATACACAAGACCAAGAGGTACGGCACAACAACGATAAGTACAATGATCGGTTAATATATTTTCCTCATTTTCAAAAACGTAATTGAGAAATGCTTTTTGAATCACCATGTAGTAATTGTTATTTGTTTTTATATTTGTATGAGGGTACCACTTTGAGAGGGTTATTCCAGTTTGTATCAAGCTCAAAATAGGGGCTCTGTACATATACAGGATGTCCAGAAAATTTAACACAATTTTATAGTACCTAATAACAATTAAAAATTGTGCCTGATTGTATAGTAATAAGATATAACAAATTTAAGTTTAAATAAATTTTATTGTATGATAAATGAGAACTACAAGCGCAATGGGAACTAATAATGAACAAAAACAAAGAGAATTTTAATTGTTAATAACAACTCGCCGGTTGCGGAAAATCATTTACAGTAATGTAAAATGAAGCAAGGCACGCCTGTAAACAATTGAAGATTGTTGCAATCAGATTATCGTAATATCGCCAGTAAGTCGGCACAAATAATTATTATTATTAAACCCTCGCTAGATAGCAAAGTAGGAAAACGCAAAAAATGGTGCAATAACGAGTCTTCGTCGTAAGGTGTACTTCACGACTTCTTGTCCAGAATACGCCGATTGAGATTACTGTGTTTGATGTTTACCGATTTTACGGGTTTTTTGCGATTAGGCAAGTTTAATTAAACGAGAGAAATTTCCACGCGAGAAAGAACGCTCGTCTTTAATTGATAAATTAGAAATCCGAAATACAAAAATTGACGCCCGGCGAAAACGCAAAAATGGTGCAATAACGAGTCTTCGCCCTGAGATGTACTTCGCCGACTTCCTGTCCAGAATACACCGATTGAGATTACAGTGTTTGAAGTTTACCGATTTTACGGGTTCTCTCCGAGCAGACGCAAGTCTAGTTAAACGAGAGAGATTTCCACGCGAGAAAAACGCTCGTCTTTAATTGATATTTAGAAACCCGAAATGCAAAAATCGACGCATGGCGCCGGAGAGGCGGAAACCGAATCCTGTTATCGGATCCTGTTGGATTCGAATACTTTGGGATTCGAATCCTCCGGATTCGGCATTCTATATTGCCCATCCCTAATTGTTATTACTATAAAATCGGGTGAAATGTTTTGGACACCCTGTATATGTATGCAATCTGCTGTGAGGGCAATTAAACTTTTCGACTTGATTTGTTTCAGGATAAATATGTAAAATCCTATTCTAAGTTGTACATAGCTCTGTTCGGAGCAAAAGGGTGTGTAAGCATATAAAAACAGAAAAAATAATATACAAATGAAGATACTTACAACTTCTAAAAAGTAATCAACGTGAGGTCTCTTGTGAACAAAAAATCTTACAGGATGTTTGTCTATTACAACCTAGAAAACAAGAAATAATAAATATTACCAATTTGTATATATCTGTCTTAGTATGCAGCAAGACTCTTGAATCACTTAGGATAATAAATATTACGTAGAAAAATGACTTTTTATATCAAACATTATTAATTTCAGCGATTCAGCAGGAGAAATTAAGAGTGAAATTATGTGTGGAGAAATTTGTTGTTGAGAGATGCAATATAAAAGAAAATACAGGGAGTCCTCGGGTTACGACGGTCGCGACTTACGATGTTTCGAGATTACAAACGCGCCCTCCATAACGCTGTTTCGAGGTTACGAACGCACTTGACGAACATATACAGATATAAAAGATAATACTGTCTGTACTGTAATATCTAAGCCTATAAACTGGAACATTGTGATCAAGAAAATCAGTGCTCTGGGCTCATTGGTTTTTGTTATTTACATCGTAAATGACGTGACCAATTGCGAACTATTGCGATTATGAATGAATAATCATTAAGCTTCAGTCCAATGGTACAGTACAGTACTGTACACAGTTCCAGTGATACAATACTGTAGGCTACACAGTCTCATTTATACTGTACGTCATTTTGGTTGTTTAAGCCATTTTTTTCGTAACTTGTGCGATCGTTTTTTTTACTTTTGCCCTTTGTTATGGACTCAAAGCAAAAAAAAAGATGTTAAGATACTGTACAGTGTTTGCTTTTATTCACGTGATGTGGAATTGTTTTCTGTTTTTCTAATAAAGTTCTTATTTGCATTATTTGTACATTTTATTAGTGTACAGTACCATACTTTACAATACAGTACGATGTGTATAGAGTAATTCATGCACTGTACCATTGTACAGTATAATGTTTCGACTTACACCGAAATTCGGGTCACGCAGAGTCTCAGAAACGAAACTGCGTCGTAAGTCGAGGACTCCCTGTATATATATTACGAGGATTTTAAGACAGCGCTGGAACAAACATTGGAACTAGTGTAAAAGCAAAGCCACATAAGAATTCAGTCTCACATGAACCCTTAATCAATATCACATGAATAAAGCTCTCCAGAGCATGTTTACCAATATACACCGGCACAAAAGCATTAGAAGAAGAATAGGTAGGTAGTCCATAGAACCTCAATCAATGGCGCTCCAGAAGTATGTGTACCAATATGAAGGTAACTAATTTTGTTCACCTACTTTATATCAAGTTGTGTAAAGGGACTGAAACTTATGGGCAGGGGATATATTCACTTGGTTAACACAGACAGTCCCTGAACTCATAATAGAACTAAAATAAGAAAAATCGGAATAAAGTTATGGCCTAACCCTAACCTGGTACACACACTACAGGAGTACCCACATTAATGGAATCTTACTTTTAAAACAAAGTCAGGTGTTGTGTTAGGTTTTGCCATTCTATTAATCACTCCATCATGGCGAGAATGTATCAACGTTTCATCCAGATCAAGAACGAGAACTTTTTTCTTCACTTGATCTGAAAAAGTGGATGGTTACAGTGATTTGTGAATGTTAAAAGTTATCGTTGTTATATACAGGTCGTTCATAAAGTCCCTTTACAATTTTCAATTTTGTTATGAAGTCAGTTCTCAATATATCTTAACCCTGTTTGTTGTTTTTTAAATCAATAATTGTGAATAAGTATTTTGACTTCATTTAAAACATCTGTGAGCGCCGAAACAATTTATGGTATCAATAAATTCCCTTTGCAATTTTAAAATTTCTTAAGACTTTATGGACACCAAATACTATACTAGTTCGCTCAAATTTTACTTCAAATGACTTCTTAAAGCCCCAAGCAGGCAACAACCCAAATTTTGGAAATCGTTCATTTTATAAATGTAACTGTGAGAGAAGAAAAAGGCGGGAAGAACTCAAACATAAACACTATTTTAATCAAAGGAAATTGATAAAAATTGGTATAAATTTGCAGTGTTGGGCAGTAGCCCTTAAACTTGATACAAATTAGGTTACAGGCCAATTTGGGTTGACTCTGAAGTAGAGCCAACTACAATCCATTTGATATAAATGAGTCAAGTTACTTAGAATCTTTCATAAATGGTAACTCGAATCCAAGTAGAGCCAATCCAACGACTTAAGCCTCCACAAAATTGTAAATTTGTGATATTAAATCTTTTCAATATATAATAACTTACTTAATCTTTGCCTTGTTAAAGGTGACAGTGGAATCATTTTGTATTTTATTGTCTGGTGTGCAATCACCTGTAAAAATATGGAAGTGTAAATGCCTCGCCACAAAAATGTGGCTGAAATAACTCTGCCATGCCTTTATACCGATCTTATACAGAGTGTCAAAACAATTTTGCATTATATTTGCAACAATTTAAAATCCCCCCCCCCTCAAATTTTTTTTGTTATAACAATGGTTAACAAGTCAAAAAATGGTTAATAAGTTTTCTCGGCGAGCGAGTGTGTCTTACAAAATTAGCAAGTTTTTGCAATCTGACATTGGTCGAGGCTCAACACGCAAGAATGAGCTTTTCCTTGTCTACCACACGATTGGGTTTATTATTTGTGCCAAAAGAACTGAGCAACCAAAGAGAACCAATTAAGCATGTTAGTCGAAATGTTATAGCCTAAACAAATGGTGATACCTCTGCGGTTTACGCTTCATTTATTCTCAATTAAAATAATCTAAATATTCTGAAATTTGAAAATAGAATTCCAAGAGTAAATAATATAGTGCGTAATCATAGAGATTGAATGAACGCAAGCTAACAAAATCAAAATAAAATTTGCCCATAGATTTAATTATCGCAATTGGAATACAGTATATTTCATATTATACATTTGCTACAATATAACAACTGCTTAAAACAGGGTTTCCCAAACTGGGATACGCGTACCCCTGGTGATCTGTCCTTGATGACTGCACAGGGGGACCGCAACGATATGAAAAGAATCTCAAACATATACAAATAGATCATAATCTTATCGAATTGCTGTTAGCCTATCAGTATTTAAAGTCACTATGTCGATGTCGTCACGGTTACGGATTTCGAAATATGTTGTTCACGATTTCATTGCAAAATTGGATATTCAATGTCATACAACAAGTGCGCAGTTGATGCCGTTTTTCTTTATGATATATATCTCGAATAAAAAATTTGCACATCAAACACTGATAATTTGTCACATAAATCAGTCACATCAGGTTTTTTAAAATAATTCAACACGACCGAACTACGCTGCCTATCTCTTGAAGCGGAGCAATCATGAAACTAAATCGATTCGTGAATAATTTTAATAAGCGATACCGGAATAATAACACGTGAAATGGCTTTATAAGCATTGTGACGTAACAAGCTGAAATTATAAATTATTACGTCAAACGTCACACGGCGGTTAACCGGTTAATTTTACCCGGTGAACGGTTTAAAGTGTTTTCCATGAAATTCCCAGCCCTAGTAATTACCTATTAATATTAGACATCAGTGGCTGCTTTTATGGGGTCTTGTTCTGGAAGAGAATAATGCGGCATGATAAAGGTAACGATTCTGTTTTTTTATACATCATTTTTTTATCAAAACGTTTCAGGTTTTTCATTTTTTTGGAAAGAAGGATTCAATCAATAAAACGTTACAGCACCAGCAAACCCGATGTCATAATACCCATTTTTAGTCACAAATTGTATGACCCAATTACTGATCGATTAAATATTTCTGATAAATAAAATTAGGTACTACCATCCACCAGTTTTTGAAATGAATGTTTTTACAATAAGTATATTCATGTGTCAACCTAAGGGCATTTTGCTCGAATACTGGGCTATGCCAGGTACGAAAATATATAGTTAATTAACGAGTTATTGGTTTAAGGTGCATAAACTTGAGGTTTCGCCAATTAGTTGATTAAAACCTAGAAGTCTGCCTTGAAAGAACGGCAACGATACATGCATCACAGAAACATATGAATCCCCAGGGAAATCCAGCAAAGTCATAATCCATGCTGGAGATGTAAGAACTATGACTGGTATTCAAGTTGAATTTAACATATGATTTTTTTAATATAAAGTGATGCAGTGATAACTCAGTTGCAAACATAACTTGTCCAGGATTTCTGTTGATACCGTAGTAATATGTGTACCAGATAAGAGTTAGGCCATAATTTTATTTCGATTTTTCTTATTTTAGTTCTATTACAAGTTTGGGGACTATCTGTGTTAGCCAAGTGAATATAACCCCTGCCCATAGGTTTCATTCCCTTTACACAACTTGATGTAAAGTAGGCGAACAAAATTAGTTACCTCCATATTGGTACACATACTATTCTGGACCAAAATAGTTTCAATATGCAAGATAAGTGCATCAAGCCAAGTCTGAAATTTTTAGAAATTCAAGAACAAAACTGAAATATTCCATAGCTGACATAGTTATTCCAATATGAGCTATGCAGGCCTTATGTTTTGTAAACTACAATTTATATATCATTTAAATATTCTATCCACCTATTGACTCATACAAATATCTTACACAACCAGTTATTGAAGCTCTGGCTAATTAGAAAGTGATAAAATTGGCTTTACCATATGTTTCGTATTCAATTAATGGCAGTATATACTGGTATAATATTTCTGATTAAATTTACCATTATTCAATATTTTAACAAGTTACGACATGGACATAGACTAACAGTGAAATTGGAAAAAACTTCAAATACAAATTAGGAAAATCATAAAATTCCATAAATTATTAAACAGAAGTTAGAAGTTCATATTATTCAGGAAAAGTGACTAAAAAGTGAAGTGATGAAAATTTATAAAGTAATTCCACAAATATGTGTCCTTGAATCATTTCTGTTCCAATCCTAGATTTTTAAGTTATAAATTTATGAGAAAAATCCAAAACTCAAATAAATTCAAGTCTTTCCAAAACTAGTTATCCTTCAGCCATACATATATTTAGATATTGATGGCCGTTAGTGTAGATCAAGAGTGGAAAAATCACGGCCAGCCTACTTGGGTCTGATGAAATTACAACTATAGTTTTTATGGATATAAATTTATAAATTTCCATTGAAAAAATATTATGAAAATTATGTCATAATGATCCTTCTTATTATTGTTATATAAACATCAGCCTAGCTGTTGTAAATAAACTCGTTTCATTCATCGTTTTTTATAGTTCTCTCAAAATTTGTATTTGTGTTTTAAGCCACCGGTCCGATAAGAAAGTCTATTATCTGTACCTGGCCCACTCAGAAAAGAGAGCTTTGTTTGAGGCAAATGTCTTGAATGAGCATTATTTAAAAAATCTTTTATGCAAAACCTTTTCAGGCTTCAAATTCAAGTATTTCATTGAAATACAAATACCTTTTATTTTTCTTATATTTATTTTTATAGAAAATAAAATCAATGCGGTTTGGCATCACAAAGTCTTAAAATTGTCAATAAACCTTCTTACATTGCTGCATTCAGTGGTTTCGCATAATTAATTATTCATTAGGCAGCTGCTTTAGTTTGCTGAATACAAACAAACAAGACTGTCCGCCAAGCCCCCCAATGTACATACAAATAGGCTGGGATTAGTCATTTTTAGTCTAAAAAAAATTTGAAACTGTTTTTTAATGATTTATTATTTTTGAAACTACTATTGTCTGTAATATTCATTACTAAAGATATATTTGAATATTCAGAATTCCAGAATGATTTTAACATATAAGCTTGACTGATTTCTGAGTTATATGCCCTTCCCCAGTACAGATTTATGATGCTGCAGAAAGTACTTTTTTTGATCTTCTGTCGTTATGAACCAGAGACCATCTCTTGGTTTGAGTTTCGAAGCTGTACCTGTTTTAGTTTTGATTTCAGGTAGTGCCTCATGTCCATTTCCAGATATGGACAAACAAATGACAGCACAAGAAATTTTAGTTTTGGATAGAAATATTCTGGTTGGTCATACTACAGTGATTAAGGGTCACTGGAATATTCTTGACAATAACAATTTCTGTGCCATTAGGAAACCATATAAATTAGCCACAAAATTGTGAATTAGAGATGTCAAAATATGAAATGGAATTCTGAATAAATGAACCTTTAACAATAAATATCACGAATAGTTCAAAATTAAAAAAAACAATTTTTTCAAATATTGAAAACTGAGGTCAGACTTCTTCAGACATACAAGTTCAACTATAACAAGAAAAGCAGTTACATGCATATTCAAACCCAGACAAACTTAACAGGAATATATATTTGTGTTAGCGTGCAGCAAGACTATTTAATCACTTAGGATAGTTATTACTTATCGATTTTAATCGGTGTGTATATTGATAAGTATTTGTCTGTCTGTATGTCTGTCTGTTAGATGCACGCGATATCTCACGAAAGCAGGATTGAATCTGCTCTGAGTTATTAATTAATTAGTGATGGGACACAAGGTGTCACTATGGAGTAAGAGCGCTGTTTTGGGGAATCCCTAACTTTCGATCGATAAGTCTTCGGTCTCTGACCGATATTCTCATCTTTACTCTTGCTACAGCATCCTTGCATCAAATGCATATGAGTTCACAGATAGAACAAAAGCATAGAAAGAAGAAGGATAAGTAGTTAGTCTCGCAGAAACCAAATCATTGAAAACTGATATTGGAATATTGATTTCCACAATGAATGAATTCACAGGCAAATTCCAGTCAAACTATGGCAAATTATTGCAGAGAATCATAAGTGATGAATAAACTATAATGTACTTAGAGCAACTAGTTTTTACTGTTCTCCTTATTTTTGGTTTCAGACTGATGGAAGCCATGCTTATATCTGTATATTGTAATGTTTAAATGGATTACCTGCTGTGGAAAAATCTTGGTACTCCCGTAGTGTGTGCCAGGTTAGGCCATAAATATATTCGATTTGATTTTCCTTATTTTAGTTCTATTACGTGTTCGGGGACTGTCTGTGTTAGCCAAGTGAATATACCCACTGCGGCCTGCCCATAGGCTTCCGTCCCTTTACACAACTTGATGTAAAGTAGGCCAACAAAAATTATTACCCCCATATTGGTACACACACTTCTGGAGCGCCGGTATCTCTGTACAAATTGAAATAATATAAATATAATAACTTACTTTTCGAACATTTTTCTTTGCTAGAACCAGGATAAGATTCCATATTCGACAGACGAATGAAAACACACTTTTCAAAAACATGAGAGTATATTCCAAAATGACACGTATTGATATTTGCGAACTCGATTTGCAGTTACGTTTCTGCATGAATGGCCCTGGGGTCGAAGTTCGTGGCTTAATGTGAAGATAAGCTAAATCGGGATTTCTTCGATTGCAATACATATATCGTACTACTTTTGTTATTACACTTTTGCTACTACACACCTGTGATACATATAAACAAAATAAATGATTAAAATTGTTATTTACTCCCATATTCCAGTATTCAGGATTTCAATAAAGCAAGTATAGTATATATAGTACTACAAGTCTGCAAGTACTTCTAGTTGGCGTGGCCGACAATTTTTGCATATGTTATTTCTAACCCCCACCTGACTTTCTTATGTAATCCAAAAATAATGATGTCACAATCACGCCATATAGCTTGTCAAAGTAAGCTTCGATCACCCGTAATGGCATTTACGCTAACGACCCCACTAACTTCATTGATCTCTCTCATATTGAGAATGTTACGAGAAAACAAGAGATTATGACTTTGTATACGAAAAAGATACTTCATTTAGAGTGTTCGTCTGTGCGTATAAGGCGACCGGCTGCATATTTTGACAGGCCTAATTACATCAATGTGGAATAATTTTCGGATGACTTAGTCAGGTGGAGATTACAGGATTAGGGATGACATATGCCAAAATTGTTGAGGCTCGCCCACTAGGAGTAGTCTCAAAAATGGTGTGTCCCACTGTTGTGAGTCATACATATTAATTCTGTGGCAAAACATATGAAGTGGAATTCACGTTATGTTTCGGGTTAGGATAGATATAGTACGTTGGCAGACGGTTATAGAGTATTCAGAGAAAGTGAGATTCATACAATTGAGAAAAGTGTGAGAGAAGTGGCACACAATATTTTTGAAACACCAAACAAGACCTGCTTTTTTTCAACTGGATCAAAAGATGTCATTATTTCCATTACTATGGTACAACAAAGACGTTACTTCAAAAAGAGAATTTCCAAATAAAAATGTAAATGTTATGGAATACTGGAATAGGTGGACATGAAATGTTGCTATTAAAAGATGTATGAGGAATTCTTATTTTATTTAAACCAAAATTTAAAAACATCCAGACTTGCTAGTGAACATAATTTTATTTTACAGTTTTATGGTTTCTACAGGATTACAGACTTGGTAACTTTGCTTAAAGCAAAGTTATCTGGCTTTTTAATGACAGAATGGCACAGAAATCAAATCTGCAGATCTGGGTATATTTATTTCTTAGGCGAGTAGAATTTACTAGGCTATAACTTTACTAAAATATTTAAACTCATCACTTCACATCAAATAATTTATTCTGCAGAAGGCTGAACTGCATGAACATCAAACTTTCTGCTCATCAAACTGTTAAATATCTGATAAAATTGCCACGGGCTCTTGGTAAAAAATGGCGACTACAGAACTAGTACGGTAAGCAGCAAATGACATACTGACATACCGTAGGTTGGTGACCGTACATTTGAACCCATGTACATATCCACGGGTTCAATCTATATGCGGTTGCTAAAACCCATGGGTTAGGGTTAGTATGGGTTTAACTGTCCGTGAAACAAAAAAAATTCCATAGGTGCAATAGCATACAGGTGCAATTGTCACGGGTTCAAATGTACGTGGGTTCAAATGTAATGGAACCACATAGGTTAGCTCCACGTTCGGGATAATCTTTTCAATTTTTAAGGTAGAGAAGAAATCCGCTTTTTGCACATACAAGCATATGCTGAAATAACAAAACGCATTCTATTAAGTACCGTACCGTAGGCTATCATTATCTGTTCCTTCTGTCCTTCGTGCAAGCTGCGCTCAACTCAACTCTCACGTCTACGAGCCATGAAATCTAGACTGTTGCTGTCTGACTGTACTGTTGTACTATGTAACATAGCCGTAAAAATAAAATTATTGTTTCAGAACAAAACATTACTGCAAGCCAATTGAAACTGCAAGATGTGAACAAATCGCAACAGCTGAACAGCGAACAGGAACCACGAGCTGGCAAGTCGAGTCAAGTGTAGGAATTTTCGACTCGTCACATGATATGACACACGAGTGCACAAGGGTTTCATAATTATAATCTATTTATTTATTGGACACGTAGTGGACATAACGATCGTTTCAATATTATGTTGTTGCTGTTGTTGTTCTTGTTCTTTGACACGTTTTTAAAAAGTCGCTTTTCTCTTCGAATACTGGACCAATTGCTTTGAAATTTTCAGTGGTTGAAGATTAATTTTTTTGCTAGAAGGCTATTACTTTTATTTATTTCAAAATTTTGCGTGAATTCTATGAAATTTGATATTTCGTCTAAAATTTTGCTGTATTATTTTTTATCCATGGGAACACGGATTTTAGTCAGTGTCATGACTGGCTGTACGTTTTGATTCTGCAAAATTCTTGCTACTGGAAATTCAGAATTTTTTTGAGGGTACCGGTAGCGTCAAAGGTACCGGTAAGGACTGATTCGCTCTGGTCTAACGTGTCCATATATTTGTGCGTAGCTCTCTTGTTTATCTCCGAGACGCGCTAATTACTGAAGCACAACAATTATTCATTTGATCGGGAGGTTATTGGACACGTTTAGTGGCCATAACGATCGTTTCAATATTATGTTGTTGTTGTTGTTGTTCTTGTTCTTTGACGCGTTTTTAAAAAGTCGCTTTTCTCTTCGAATACTGGACCAATTGCTTTGAAATTTTCAGTGGTTAAAGATTAATTTTTTCGCTAGAAGGCTATTACTTTTATTTATTTCAAAATTTTGCGTGAATTCTATGAAATTTGATATTTCGTCTAAAATTTTGCTGTATTATTTTTTATCCATGGGAACACGGATTTTAGTCAGTGTCATGACTGGCTGTACGTTTTGATTCTGCAAAATTCTTGCTACTGGAAATAAGAACTTTTTTGAGAGTACCGGTAGCGTCAAAGGTACCGGTAAGGCTGATTCGCTCTGGTCTAACGTGTCCATATATTTGTGCGTAGCTCTCTTGTAAATATAATATGGTTAAACACCCTGTAAGTCAAATTAAACTTATGGTGAGCGAACACGTACTACTTCTTTCATCAATGTCTTTCCGCCTAAAATCTGTACGCTTCAAACCTTACTTGATGTTTTGTCCCCCCCCCCCCCTTCAATTCCATATACAATTTTATCTGTTTTGTTTTTATCAATTATTTTGCTGGTATCTGTGGGCCACTCTCTATTATCGTTCAATATAACTTCACCTAGCCTGTAGTGTCACACTTGATTAGAATTTCATCGTCTATAGCTGATTATGGAGTCGAAATAAACTTATATTAATTATGCTCATTGGATATTCCGGGTGTTTCCCCGATATTATAACTGAGGGTCGGGTACAAATTCAAATAGGGAAAAAATTAATTTAATTTTTTAAATCGGAAAACACAATGTAAACATATATATATATGGAAGTAAATGAATAAATGATCAAGCATTTGGTTGGACTGAGAATGCTACGCGCTGTGTGTTTCGGTATTTACTGTTGGATTTGTATCTCGTAATATCAAGGCCCATCAACCGGAATTGAAGAAGTTTATGGATTAAAGATTGAATTTAAAGTTCGCGTTTGGCAGTCGCATTTTTGAACGGCACCAAAAGAGTAGATTGACAACAATGAACCAGCACTGAAGGAATATCAACAAGTAAAGACCGAAATATGAAATTACATGGCAGCATAAAGGCAACATACTGACATCATAACAGAATCGAAAGATGAATACATCAGGGATTGATTCAGATATTTTATTTTGTGAAATTGAATTGCGGACTTTCAGCAGATACTGATATTCCTAGAAATTCCGCTTGAATGCTAAATGGGTATTCAACTATATATGTGTGAATAGTTTGTAGGGAAAATTATGACCATATCAATGCGCAACATTTTTAAACATTCATTTAATGGCATATTTTTGGTTTGTTCTCTCTGTGTGTATACCGGTACTGTTTTAACAATGTTGGCCACGTCAATGTATCAATTAGGCTACAGAACTGCTCACGTGTGATTAGTGTTTTACCTGATAATTTCTTTTATGAGTATCCGCAAACCGAATTTGGCACCATGGTTTTGCGTTTGTTTGTATATACCTTTTCCGCAATGCCCAATCTAGCAATCAGTGTAGTTTTTCATGACTTGGTTTTTCTTAAAGCTTCCATGGCTTCATGAGTATGACTATCGTCGCAAATTTATTACATTCAACTCCCCACATTATCTTTGCATGATATTGTAGGTATTGGTCATTATCGTAATTGTTAAAAGTACAACAGCCCGAAAGTTTAATACTATCGTGTATTTTGTTTAAGTTTGGCCCAAGCCGCATTTAATTGGGCTTGTGTTTTTGTGTGCGTGCTGGTGGGTAGGCACATGAGATACTCCTCATGTTTTAAACTTTTTTATAGGTATTGCTTGCCCTCCAGAATTCTCCATTTTTGATTTATGTTTGTTATGGAGTTTTCGAACTGAACTATCTATCTATCATAAGCGGCAAATGACTGAGTGGTAACTTTCCAACGACCGTTAATAGGATAGAGCCTCCTACCGCACAATACAAATACAAGTAATGAACAAGAGAGATATGCTCAAATATATAGACACTTAGCGCCACACAGTGGCAAAGTTTGATGGCGTCATAGCAAAACAAGAAGTAATAGCCTTCGAGCGAAAAATATAGTCTTTACTCACTGAAAATTTTAAAGCAATTGGACCAGTAATCAAAACGAAAAGCGACTATTTCATAATGTGTCAAAGAACAAGGATAAGAATGAGAACAACAACCACAACATAATGTTGAAACGATCGTTATGTCCACTGACGTGTCCAATAGAAGCACAGGTCAACGTTGGATTGAAATCAACGAGTCAAACACGACCCTGCATCAAACTAGCGATCGTATAAGAAACTGCAATTCCCGATTTAAAACAATAAGTAAGAAATGTATTCTGGTTTCGAGTCAAATGGTTCATTTCATATCTGGTATATATATGACCAGGGCGTCCTGCGATCTGTGTGGCCGCAGTGTGCCCCGCGCTGATTCTAGGAGATCACTGCTTTTACAAATCATTCATACTCATAATATTTTCAATATGAAATCTGGTGAAAAAACTTTCCGCGTCTGAAACTAATGAATCCTTGAGGTCAAGAATTGACGATGATATATTGA